CACTATATCAGAATAATTTCTGAAGCATCATCAATTATTATTATTATTTTTTTATTTTGTATCTTTTTTTGAGGATGTAAAAATGCAGTTGGTGTAGGGCGATAGAATATACTGTTTGTACAGTATAAAACCCATTACATCTATCGAGTGTGTGTTATATATATATATATGTACAGTATATATATATTGCATAGTTTGAAAGCCTTAAATCACCTAAGAAAATCATGTTTAAAGTCGTTTATAGTGTGACTTAATTTGCTTTAAAAACTGGCATATATATAGCCAAAAAAAGAAAAGAAAAAACATTAATGCAATATATATATACATATATATTATATATATATACATTTTTTTTTTTTTGGAACACACATTCCAAAACCTTTGCGTGAAGCCTTAAGGCCTTAAGGTCATTGTTCAAACTCTATATTCTAATTGAATGGGCTGTGTTCAAAGCTGATGTATAAAAACACAAGTGTGAACATACATTTTCTATTACATTTTTAATATTACAGCAAGTTGCTTTATTGCTTAGCAACTATAAGCAACCTCTAGTCAGAATAATGAACTATATCACTTTGCGGACAGTGAATTCTTATTATTGTTCATAAAAAATGTGACTTATTATTGAACATTTGTGTCTCTATTGCTGTTGATGTAGGTTTATGAAAGCAAAAATCTATGTAATAAAAGAGACTTCCTCCCTCGGCTGATTGCTATATTTTGCAGAAGCAAGACAAGACAGCATGCAATAGCCCTCCAAACTGGATTTTCAAGGTGTTCAGTGCTTCATAAAGATATATTAATAAACTAGAGTGGATAAAGTCAAGTAAATACAGTGGAAACACAAAACGTTGTCATCTGTCGGTCACTTCCTTACTGAACAGATTCACAGGAGATCTTTTGAAGTGCTTGAGAAAGTCATCATGCATCAAGATGTGCAGTAAAAACAGTTCTAATAGAAAGCCAAGAAGAAGAAGAGATCAGTGTGTGCAGTTTCCATAAAGCATGGAATGACAGCCAGGGTATTTACAAATTACATTCCAACAAGAGAGGTCCACCAAGAAGACCTGCACTCTAAGAAAAGTCTGTAAAAAATAGGGCCCAGTGTTTTCCCCGTATTTTGAATTATGCATTGCATTGTGTTGTGTTTTAGGGTTAAAGGAAGTGTCTGTAAATTTGGAAAATTACCAGTACCTTTTCCAATTTTCTGCCGATTTTTTTCTTATAGTGTGGTGAGGAGGACACTGATGCCTGGAAAGCATGGTGGTAGATCTTTTGTGGTCTAAGTGTGTACAGTTGTAATGGAATTTGTTCAAAAAGGACACAGAGATAATGCAGGGAATATAAGAATGTCTTAAAATCAATTTGATTTAAGGATTAAGAATGAAAAGTTAATTGTACCAAAGATAATTATTTTAGTTTTAGCATTTATTTTGTAGAATCAGTTATTATACTATATTCTCATATTCTTACAGCGCAACAGTCTGCTTTTTTAAATAAATAAAAATATTTTTAAATAAAAAATAAAATATATATATATATACTGTATATATATATATATATACACACACACACACACACACAGAGATATGCCATGGTTTTACAGTAAAATTCTAAATACAGTAAAATCCTGACAGTATTTTATAGTGCAAACCAAAACTGCTTGTGAGCAAAACCACAGAAATATCTTGAAATTAACCTAACTTCATCATATCAGTTTATGACACACTATTTTTACTTAGGGACAGACAGATGCATGCATTGTTCTCATATGCCTCAGTTACGCCCCTATGTTTTCTGTTCCTATCTTTAACAAAAACACAACAACAGAACAACCACTTTCAAATACCATCAACAAAGAGTAGATATGTTCACTTTAAACCACACTTTAAAGAGACAGCAGTTCTTGCCAATGTGTGTTATACAGCCAGTGAGCTTTTTGTTTCAAGATATTTTGGTTTTGTATGTTACATGAGTATCAGGCCTTCCACATTGTATTACATGTGTTTCATCCTGAACACATTGTTCTTTAGCCATTATTCAATCATTTATTTGATTTACTTTATTATTAACTAAATTTTTTATTTATCTGCACTGAAATGACTTTAATGTAAATATGTGAAATGATGACCACCAGGGATTGAAAGTAACTTTTTCACTCACCAGCCAATTTGGCTACTAAATTTTTAAGTAAATAAACCAACAGTTTGA